TCTGAAGAGGACTGACCTGAGGGAAAAAACAGTCCAACACAACAGCAGAGTGCACACAACATACACCAGAGACACTTACTAAAGTGTCAGGCCCTGGTCAGCATATGACCTCTTCTTAATATAGCCATTACTCTCAGAAGCAGGAAACATAATAGGCTCCTAACACAAAGAAGAGAGAGACCTAGGCAAAATGCCAAAATGGAGGAATTCATCCCAAAAGAAAGAACAAGAAAAGGTCATGGCCAGGGATCTATTCAAAACAGATATAAGTAATAGGCCTGTACCACAATTTAAAACAGCAAACATAAGGATACTAGCTGGGCTTCAGAGAAGCATAGATGACACCAGGGAGTCCCTTAATGTGGAGATAAAAAACCTAAAAGTAGCCAGGCCATAAAAATATGCTATAACTGAGATGTAAAACCACTTAGATGTAATGACCACAGGGATGGAAGAAGCAGAAGAATAAGTGCTATAGAAGATAAAATATACAAGATAATGAAGCTGAAAAGAATGGGAAAGAAAAATATTGGATCACAAGGGTAGACTTAGGAACTGAGCAACTCCATAAAGTATAATAACATTCATATCATAGGAGTCTCACAAAAAGAAGAGAGGGAAAAGGAGGCAGAAGATTTATTTGAGCAAATTATAGCTGAAAGCATCCCTAATCTGGGAAAGGAAACAAATATCCAAATCCAGGAGGCACACAGAACTCCACTAATCAACAAAAGGAGTCCAACCGAGTCATACTGTAGTAACATTTGCCAAATACAGAGATAAGGAAAACATCCTGAGAGCAGCAAGGTAAAAGAAATTCCTAACTTACAAGAGAAGACAAATCAGGTGAGCAGCAGACTTATCAACAGAAACTTGGCAGGCCAGAAGAGAGTGGTATGATATATTCAATTTGATGAAGGGAAACATATGCAACCAAGAATACTTTATCTAGTAAGGCTGTCATTCAGAATAGAAAGAGATAAAGAGTTTCCCAGATAAACAAAAATGAAAGGAGTTCTGATTACTAAACTAGCCCTGCAAGAAATACTAAAGGGGACTCTTTGAGTGGGAAAGTAAGGCCAAAAGCAACAAAGAGGAGAAAGGAACAGAGAAAATCTTCAGAAACAACAACTTTACAGGTAATACAATGGCATTAAATTCATATCTTTCAATAATCACTCTGAATGTCAATGGGCTAAATGCTCCAATCAAAATAAATAAAGTATCAAGATGGGTAAAAAACAAGACCCATCTATATGCTGCCTACAAGAGACTTTAAACCTAAAGGCACTTACAGAATGAAAGTGAAGGGATGGGGAAACTTTATCATGCTAATAATGGATGTCAAATGAAAGCTGGAGTAGCCATACTTATACCAGACAAACTAGATTTTAAACCAAAGTCTGTAAAAAGAGACGAAGAAGGGCATTATATCAATATAAAGGAGTCTATCAAACAAGATCTAACAACTGCAAATACTTACGGCCCCAACTCGAAATACCCAAATATATAAATCAATAGATAACACACATAAAGAAACTCATTGATAATAATACAATACATAGTAGGGGACTTTAACACCGCACTTGCATAAATGAACAGATAATCTAAACAGAAAATCAACAAAGAAGTAATAACTTTGAATGACACACTGGATCAGATGGACTTAACAGATATATTCAAAATGTTTCATCCTAAAGCAGCAAAATACACGTTCTTTTTGAGTGCACACGGAACATTCCCCAGAATAGATCACATACAGGGTCACAAATCAGCCCTCAACAGATACAAAAAGATTGAGATCATATCATGCATATTTTCAGATTATGATGCTATGAAATTTGAAGCCAACCACAAGAAAAAAAATTGAAAAGGCCACAAATACATGGAGGTTAAAGAACATCCTAGTAAGTAATGAATGGATTAACAAGGAAAGTAATGGATAAATGAAGAAATACATGGAAACAAATGAAAAGGAAAACAGAACAGTCCAAAACTTTTGGGATGCAGCAAAAGCAGTCATAAAAAGGAAGCATATACAATTACAGGCCTACTTCAAGAAGCAAAAAAAGTCTCAAATACACAACCTAACCTTACACCTAAGGGACCTAGAAAAGGAACAGCAAATAAAACCTAAAGCCAGCAGCAGAAGGGAAATAATAAAGATTAGAGGAGAAATAAATGATATAGAAACAAAACAAAACAAACAAACAAAAAAAACCAGCAGAATAGATCAATAAAACCAGGAGCTGAGTTTTCAAAAAAATTAATAAAATTGATAAACCGCTAGCCAGACTTATCAAAGAGAAAAGAGAAAGGACCCAAATAAATAAAATCACGAATGAAAGAGGAGAGATCACAACCAACACCACAGAAATACAAACAACTATAAGAGAATATTATGAAAAGTTATATTCCAACTAACTGAGCAATCTGGAAAAAAGGGATAAATTCCTAGAAACATATAAACTACCAAAACTGAAACAGGTAGAAATGAAAAATTTTAACAGACCCATAACCAGCCAAGAAATTGAATCAGAGTCCATGGCCAGATGGCTTCCAAGGGGAATTCTACCAGATATTCAGAGAAGAGTTAATACTTATTCTTTTTAAACAATTCCAAAAATAGATATGGATGGAAAACTTCCAAACTCCTTCTATGAGGCCAGCATTACCTTGATTCCAAAATAAGACTAACACCCCACCAAAAAGGGGAATCACAGGCCAATATCCCTGACGAAAATGGATGCAAAAGTTCTCAACAAATTACTAGCAGATCTGATCCAATAGTACATCAAAAGACTTATTCACCTTAATCAAGTGGGATTTATTCTTGGGCTGCACGGGTGATTCAATTTTGCAACTCAATCGAGATTGACGACATTAATAAAAGAAAGTGTAAGAACCATATGATCCTGTCAATAGATGTAGAAAAAGCATTTGACAAAACACAGCATTCATTCTGGATAAAAATCAAAGTAGGTATAGGAGGAACATAGCACAACATCATAAAGGGACCCATAGCTAATATCATCCTCAATGGGGAAAAACTGGGAGCTTTCCTCCTAAGGTCAGGAACACAACAGGGATGTCCGCTCTCACCACTGTTGTTCAGCGCAGTAAGTTCTAACCTTAGCAATCAGACAACAAAAAGAAATAAAAGCCAACCAAATCAGCAAAGAAGTCAAACTTTCACTATTTGTAGATGACATGATGCTTTATGTAGAAAACCTGGAGGACTCCACCAAAAACACTGCTAGAACTGATACACAAATTCAGCGAAGTCACAGGATACAAAATCAATGTACAGAAATCTGTTGCATTTATACACATCAATAATGAAGCAGCAGAAAGAGAAATCAAGGAATTGATCCCATTTACAATTTCATCAAAACCCATAAGATACCTGGGAATAAATCTAACCAAAAAGATAAAAGATCTGTACTCTGAAAACTATAGAATACCTATGAAAGAAATTGAAGAAGACACAAAGAAATGGAAAAACATTCCATGCTCATGGATTAGAAGAATAAATATTGTTAAAATTGCCTATGCTATCTAAAACAATCTGCACATTTAATGCAACCCCTATCAAAATACCACCAGAATTTTTCACAGGGCTAGGACAAACAATTCTAAAATTTGTATGGAACCAGAAAAGACCCCAGATAGCCAAAGCAATCTTGAAAAAGAAAACCAAAGCAGGAGGCATCACAATTGCAGACTTCAAGCTATACTACAAACCTGCAATCATGAAGACAGTATGGTGCTGGCAAAAAAAAAAAAAAAAACAGACACATAGATCAATGGAACAGCATAGAAAATCCAGAAATGAACCCACAACTAGATGGCCAACCAATCTTCAACAAAGCAGGAAGAATATCCTATGGAAAAAAGACAGTCTCTTCAACAAATGGTGTTGGGAAAACTGGACAGCAACATGTAGAAGAATGAAACTGGACCATTCTCTTGCACCATACCCAAAAATAAATTCAAAATGGATAAAAGACCTAAATACAGGAAACAATCAAAATCCTCGAGAAAAACACAGGCAGAAACCTCTCTGACCTCAACTGGAGCCACTTCTTACCAGATACACCGCCAGGGGCAAGGGAAATAAAAGCAAAAACTGAACTGTTGGAACCTCATCAAGATTAAAACCTTCTGTACAGTGAAGGAAACAATCAACAAATCTAAAAGGCAACCTATGGAATGGGAGAAGATATTTGTAAGTGAAATATCTGGTAAAGGTTAGTATCCAAAATCTATAAAGAACTCATCAAACTCCACACCCAAAAAACAAATAATCCAGTAAAGAAATGGGCAAAAGACATGAATAGGGATTTTTCCAAAAAAGACATCCAGATGGCTAACAGACACATGAAAAGATTATCAATATCATTCATCATCAGGGAAATACATATCAAAACCATGATGAAATGTGACCTCACACCTATCCAAACAGCTAAAATTAACAACACAAGAAACAATAGATGTTGGCAAGGATACGGAGAAAGGGGGACCCTCTTACTCTTTGGTGACAATGCAAAGTGGTGTAGCGACTCCGGAAAAGAGTATGGAGGTTCCTCAGAAAGTTAAAAATAGTACTGAGCAATTGCACTACTAGGTATTTATCCAAAAGATACAAAAATGCTGATTCAAGAGGGCACATGCACCCCAATATTTATAGCAGCACTATTAACAATAGCTAAATTATGGAAAGAGCCTAAATGTCCATCTATGGATGAATGGATAAAGAAGATCTGGTGTATATATACAATGGGACATCACTAGGCCATTAAAAGAATGAAATCTTGCCATTCGTGAGAATGTGGATGGAGCTAGAGTGTATTATACTGAGCAAAATAAGTCACTCAGAGAAAGACAAATACCATAGGATTTCACTCATACGTGCAATTTAAGAAACAAAACATGAACATAGGTAAAGGGAAAAAAAAGAGAGGGAGGCCAACCATAAGAGACTCTTAACTATAGCGAACATGCTGCAGGGTACGTTGGTGGGGGCTTGGGCCAAATGGTGATGGGTAGTCAGGAGGGCACTTGTTGTGATGAGCACTGGATGTTATATGCATATGATAAATCACTAAATAATAACTCCTGAAACTAATATTACACTATATGTTAACTACACTAAAATTTAAATAAAAACTTGAAATACTAAAAAAAGAGCAGGATGATACCTTAACAAAAAGTCTTAAAAGTGCACACATACACACACACACACACACACACACACACACACACACACAAGCCAATACAACTGCACATTTTCTTTGTTTAGAATCTTTTCTGTGTAGTTCAGAAAAAAAAAAGATAAGCAAATCTTAAAGTAGGTTGGTTTAGTTGGCTGAAAGGAGGAAGGATTAAGGGTGGAGAGGGGTGGAGGAGTTATTTGCTTATTTATTGAGTTGAGTAGGGGAAATCAGCAAAGGAATTGAGCCAGTTGTTATAAAATTTAGGAATATTGGGGAAGAGAGATAAGTACTGTAAACTTTTAGATCCATTTCCTGAGCATTAGCAAGGTGATCTCTCTTCGCTTCTTCCTCAAGTATTCAACCTTTTTAAAATTCCTTTACATACAGAGAAGATCTATATTGCTCAGTGAGTTCTGGAGTACCATTTTGGAGTATTTTGTTTCACAAATGAAAATACAGGAAGCCCAGTTAAATGTGCTTTTCATACAAGCAGTGAAAGTTTTTTTTTCTGTGTGTGTCAGATATTGCCTGGGACAATATTTTACTAAAAATGGATGTCCTCAATTTGAATTTAACCAGGCATCCTGTATTTCATCTAGCAACCATATCCATCTGGCTAAGACAGAGATAAAACAAAAAGTTTATTTTCTCGGATTACTTGCAAATTGGAGGAAAGTTTTCCAGAGGTTTTCGGGAAGTAACAGCTGTTTCCAAACTTGGCTGTCCGTTGGAACCAGATTCTGGTGGTGTTGCTCTGAGATTCAGCCAGGACATGGAATTTTTCCAAGCATTTTAGGGGACACTAATGTGCCACAGTGAGGAGCTGGTGACTGATGTCCATGGTTCTCATCCTGCACAACACAAAACAGACCTAAGGATTTTTTTAAAAGTACCCATAGCCAGATCCCACCCCAGAGCAAATAAATCAGTGTGTGTATGGGAGGGGGGTTGGAGCAGGCCCCTTACACTGCAATTTAGGAAAAGCTCCCAGTAAATGCTAATGTTCCTTTAAAAGCTGGAAGCCCTGAATTATAGCTTAAACTATGGCATCCTAAGGAGGGCCATCTATAGGAAACTTTTAAAAGTTTATCTTTCGGGGCACCTGGCTGGTTCAGTCAGCTAAGTGTCCATCTTTGGCCTAGATGATGATCTCACCGTTCCCAGGTTCAAGCCCCGCTTCAGGCTCTGTGCTGACAGTTCAGAGCCTAGAGACTGTTTCAGATTCTGTGTCTCCCTCCGTCTCTCTCTCTCTCTCTCTCTGCCCCTCCCCCACTCACACTTTGCCTCTCTCTCTCTCTCAAAAATAAACATTTAAAAAAATTTTTAAAAATAAAATCAAAAACGTTTATCTTTAATATTTTAAACTAAGAAATTAGTATTTATTATAATCAATTCAAGCCATACTAGGGGCACCTCAGGTGGCTCAGTTGGTGACTTTGGCTCAGGTCATGATCTTGTGGTTTTTGAGTTCAAGCTCATGGCTCCCCAGCTGAGCAGCTCAGAGCCTGGAGCCTGTTTCAGTTCTGTGTCTCCCTCTATCTCTGCCCTTCTCCCACGTGTGCTCTGTCTCTCTATCAAAAATAAATAAACTATGAAATATTTATTATATTTCTATAATATATATAGAATTCTATATATATATTCTATAGATATATATAATCTATATATATTCTATATATCTATCTATATATATTCTATATATTCTATATATAATACTATATATAGAAATATATTTCTAAACTATGAAATATTTATTATAATCAATTCAAGCCATAAAAAATATCTAAAATAAAGATGAGTCTCCACTTACTCTTCCAGAGGTCTCCACCCTCAAAATCTTGATCTGTTTTTTTCTTACAGGCATATAGGGAGGGAGGAGAGAATCAATGTAAAAGCACAATAAGGCCACGAGGACATGATATGTGTTATTATCTTTGAAGAAGCTGTCTCATTTTTTTAACTTTTTAAATGTTTATTTTTGAGAGAGAGAAAGCAGTGAGCAGGAGGGGCAGAGAGAGGGAGACACAGAATTCGAAGCAGGCTCTGTGGCTCCCCCCAGCAGTCAGCACAGAGCCTGATGCGGGGCTTCAACTCCGGTGACTGCGCTCCCCGAGCTAAAATTGGATGACTGAGCCACCCGGAGCCCCCCAAAGTTGCCACACACTTCACTTTTTTAATGTACCAGAACTTTGTCAGGTCACCACTTCAAGGAAATAGTGTGTTTATTCCAGGCTTCACTGTGAACCAGCGGAAATCAGGAGCCATAGAAGGGAGAGGGAGGGGAGTCTCAGGAGACAAACAACCTCTACCACAATCATTTTCCACTCTGATAGTTTAGAGCATTCCTGCTGCTGTCCTCTTTGTTCCCCTCATACTTCTGCCTCAGGAGCGGGATGAGTTACCCAGCTAGCAAAAGTTTGAAAGGGAACTGGGCATAAGTGGCTCATCCATCCTTTGTGTCTCGCGGGGGCAGCTTGTCTGCAGAAAGCACACATTCTCAGCCTCCCTCTGTGGGGTAAGTTTACAGGGGCAAAGCCTCCACCAGGGAGCCTTCTGTTTTCCTGCCCACCTGAGGGCAATCAGATCTCTACACCATTCTGTAAACCTACTGTTGCCAGAGAATCACGGTCCTTAAACAGCCTCATCAGAATAAAAGTAATTTGTTTCCTTCCTGTATCCACCTCACAAATGAATTCACAAAGTAATCTCTCAAAAACACCAGTAATATAAATTATAGTTTCCTTTGAAGTTATAGAGCTATCAGTGAACAAAATAGCTGCAGCTCTTCCCGCGATTTTACGTCAAGGCAGGTCCTGTGAGCAAATCTCAAACAAAGTGCATGAATATGTCATAAACAGAAAATCACAAGTAGAATGGGGAGAGATACACAAAGACACGAAACATGGAGGAAAATAGAATTTTTTTTTTTTTTTACTGGTAGAGAAAATACTACGGCAATTGAAGGGGGATAAAATAGACACTGAGCCAATCACTCAGGAATAATGGCTGACTGGTCATCCCATGTCTTCGATTCTTGAATAAAATATTCCAGTTGCTGTCATCTGTATGTCACCCGCCAATCGGGCAGACTAGGGTCACATCTAGGCAAGAGTGTGCTCAGTTGTTCATTAGCTTTATTACCTTCCCGGCCGCAGGTAATGGCCTGATTGTTCCCATCGATCGATATCTTTTGAACCAACAATTACATTGTTGGTTTGTAACAAACAACAAATAAGCATATATTTAAAGTATATAATGTATAAAATATATAATAAGCATACTTATATATACTATATATATAAGTATGTAGTATATAAGTAAACTATATATATGTTATCAATATCTATATATATATATATATATATATATATATATATATATACACAAACACTATATATATGTAAGTATAGTGTATATAAACATAAAGAAACTGAACTCAGATGTAATTGGTGACTACAGAAGATATTGCATCAGTGGATGAATGGATGACTATAAAAACTTTCATGGGACTCATAAGATAAACATTTGAAAAGTTTTTGCTGTTGTAACATACTAATCCAGTTTCTTCTTTCTAGTTGGGAGACCTCTGAGAAATTACTCTGCTTTCCTGAGGTAGACTCTGTAAGTATGCGCTTAAAATGATTTAAAACATTAGAACACAGAAGGCGGCGCCGCCAGACGCGGACCACGACTCCGAGTCCGCCGCTCCCCCTGCTGTCAGGGCTCCTGGCGCTGGGCCTGGGGCGCGTCTGCTGGGCGCTGGGAGCAGGTGCGAGACACCAGCCTCGGGGACGCTCCCGCGATGTGGACCTCGACAAGTGCAGGGACTGCACGTTGTGCCCCCAGCGACTTCACAGTGGCTTCTGCGTGGGCTGCTCCCCAGATCCTCCAGCCTCCCGCCCCTTGCTGCGGCCCATCCTGAGGGGCGCCCTGAGCCGAGCCCTTGTGCCGGGACTGCTTTCTGGCTTCCTGGACTGGAGCCCGTGCTGCAGGGTAGAGAAGTTGACGACTCCTGTGGAGGGGTCTGGAGGGAAGTGCTGTCCTGAAATGACGCTGATCTAGGGACAGCCCACTCACCTGCCAGCAGGAGGCCCCACCCACTCATCATTCATTCATTCATTCATTAATCCATTCATCTGGAGCCAGCCCCTGTCCCCCGAACTCACCACCCCCACAGATAGCCCCACAGACAGCCAGAGCCAGATGCTACCAAACACAGAGGTGTGGACGGAGAAGGGACGAACGAAGCACCTCTCCAGGCCTGGGCCTCGGCATCAGAGGAGCCTCACAAGGTGTCTGATCACCCCGACTCTGGCGCCGGGATAGAAAAGGAGACCGGTGCTGGCTCACACCAGACAGGTGACACTAAGGAACCTCGGCATTTACACAGGCCGCCCACTCTAACTCCCCCCCTCCTTCCCCGTGGCCCCGGGGACCAGGCTGACCTAAGGGACAAACACAACACCAGGTCCCACCCGCCAGATGTACTCAGCCTGGGAGGTTAGGAACCTGTTCCTAACACTAGGGGGCTGGCCCCAAGACACTGCTCCCCGACCCTCAAACGAGCGGGTATTTCTTTATTTTGGGGAGAAAGTGTGGAAAGAAGAGAAAATTTATTAATAAAATAGTCTTTAACTTAAAAAAAAAAGACTAGATTTAGAACAGCAGCGTGTTTTTTTGTTCTGGTTTTTGTTGCTTACAATTCCAATGTTATGAAAGATGTTGCATCACAATGTTTTAACTCGCTGTTAAATTTGGGGGTGGGGGGAAGGACACTGGAATAACAAATGGAGATGTGTGCTTTTACTTCTGGTTCTACTCCTAATTCCTGATGTAACTGTGGGGAGTACATGAGCCTCTCTCTGTTCCCTCATTTCTATAGTAGGATGTAGAGCACATAGTCCTTAGTGCCCCTTCTAACTCTAGCAGCCTTGGATTCTTTCATTAAAACTTCTAGATTAGTACCAATATCCTCTTGGCTGAAAAAAAAAAAAAAAAA